TATAAAGTTTTATCCAACTCCCAGGTAAAACCCTGCATAATATAGTAGAGGAAGTTCAATGCTATGGTCCTATGGAGACAAACAGGGCTATTGTGGAAGTTAGTCGAAAAGGTTATGGACAGAATGAAGATGGCTCTGAACCACAAGCTCAGATACTATTCTCCATGCAATGAAGAATCACTACAGGTATTTTTTTTAAAAGCGCGAACTGGCACCATTCTTCTGGGATAACAGAGCTGGAGTACTTTTTCCTATTCCTATAAGTCCTAGCTATTAAGACCCTAGATATTATACATAAAACAGGTCTGTGAAAAGGGAAATGAAAACAGACTAGCCAGAGATCTCAAGCACAATAGATCACAAAATGGTGAGTTTGCTGGGGTTCATTTGCAGCATATATTTCACACTTGGAGTTGAAAAGCTGGCACCCTGGACACATGAACAGACAAAGACAAATAAAGGACTGACAAAAGCCTGCTCCCTTTAGCCAAAAGACCAGGAAGAGGCAGCCTAGCCAGAAAGAAAACTTTTAGACAATAATTGTTCTACTCTAGCCAAACACCACAGAAAAAAAAACTGTGTTCCTAAAACCACTCATGCCAGCAAAGTGGAGAGCCAAGACTGTAATGAGTCTCTGAACCTCCCCAGAAGAATGGTGTCTAGAAAGCCAACTGGGGAGCCAAGACTTTTATCCTTGCTGGTTGATTGCAAGCCTCCAGTGCCTAGCACTACCCATTTACCCCTGTGTTCAGTGAGGACTAAATGGAAAGTATTAAAGTTATCTGACAACCATGGCAAAAATGCTTCAATGGGCAACTATGAACATGCTTGAAACATATACAAGGCCTCAGCAAAGATATAGAAGATATAAAACAGAACTAATAGAAATTTTAGAAGTGAAAAATATATTAACTGAATTTTTAAAGTTAAGAGGATGGGCTCAACAGGAGAATGGTAGGGACAGTGGAAAAAAATCCATGAGTTAGAAGTTAAAAGATCAGAGATTTCCCAAGCTTAATTAATATCAGGATGTAGCATACATATTCGAGTATAAGCCGACCCAATTATCAGTCAAGGCACCTAATTTTACCACAAAAACAGCATTAAAGATGTGCTGAAAAACTTGACTTATACACGAGTATATACGGCAATAGAATGAAAAACGAAAGGACAGACCTGCAAGAATATATCAAGAGACTAACATCTGTGTCAGCAGAGCTCTAAAACTAAAAGAGGATGAGGGCAGGGCCAAAAAGCACTCAAAGACATGTACTCACCAACACAAAAAGTTGAGAAACTAAAAAGGTAAAATTCTAGGAAATGTGAACTAAGAGATAGCATAGTTAAACTTCCCAAAACTAAAGATTAAAATATATGCAAAAAAAGCAAATTATGGAAAAATTTCAACGGATGAAAGCTTCTTATCAGTGGGAGCCTCAGGAAGTGGCAAAATACTTTTCAAATGCTAAAAGACGGTCAACCCTATGCCCAGTGAAATCCTATAATCAATGAAAATATCTTGCAGGCATGTAGTAGAAATCAAGACATTTCAGATGAAGGAGAATAAGAGACGTTGCCAGCAGGCTCACCCTAAGAGAATAGCTAAAGGTAGTTCTTTAAGCAGAAATGCAACAATAAAAGAAAGAACCTTAAACTATAAGGAAAGAATAAGGAATACAGTGGGCAAAGCTGAGTAATACAATGCTCTTCTCTTCTTTTGAATTCTCTAATATTTGACAACTGAACCAAAAACATTTAACACTGTCTGGTGTGGTTCTAAATGTATATGTAGAAACTACTTTAAAACTACGTTGTAAAGGAAAAAAGACAGAGGTAGAGATTATACACTTCACTAAAATTAGAAAAATGATGACACCAATAGAATGTGATAAGTTGTACATTAAAATTCCAAACCAAACCTACTGCCCTTAGGTCAATTCCAACTCACAGAGATCCGATACAAGGTTTCCAAGGCTGTCAATCTTTATGGGGAGCAGACAGCCCCATTTACTCCCACAGTGCGGGTTTCAACACCAGACCTTGCAGTTAGCAATTCAATGCAACAGCATCACCAAGGCTCCTTAAGTGATGTACACATAATGTAATGCCTGGAACCACCATCAAAAAAAGACAAAAGAAAAACACTCTGGACAAACTAATATAGTAACTGACAGAAAGGCAGGAACACATAAGTAAAAATCAGAGGAAAAAACAGAAAACAAAAATAACATGGTAGACAAATCTTAATATGTCAAAAATTACATTAACTATAAATGGTCTACACACAACTTAAAAAGAGAATGGATTAAAAAACCTTACCCAAATCTACTCAAGTACTCCCTCAATGCAAGAATACTTTCTTCTATTAAATTAGCATTCTACGATGCTCACCTTCCCGACACAACCACTGAAGACAAAGCGGGTGAATAAGCAAATGTGGTGAAGAAAGCTGATGGTGCCCGGCTATCAAAAGAT